ACTAAACCATGCGTGAATCAGCTGTGACCATCAGTCATATGACCAAAATTCTGAACATTTGTGGCTGAACTAGGTTGAACTGCAGGCTGTGTTCCCACAAAGCAGAGCAGAGAGGTGTGGGAATGAATTAAAAATCAAAGTAGTAAAATATATACAGTACATCAGTTAACTTTAGTATGTTTGGTAACACCTGTGAGCACTTCCATATGAAGATGCTACTTAGAGCTGGTTAGCTTAGCATAAAGACTGGAAACAAGGAGAATCAGAGGTAATAAAATCTTCCTACCAGCAGCTTTAAACACTAAAATAATAATATGTGAAGTCTGCTTCTGTAATCCGTTCAAGTATAAAAACAATCACTTGTGGTTTTACGTGCAAGATTATTTCCACGGTGAACGCTGCTGCACCTGACAAGGAAATAGTCAGGTGCACCTGTGTGGCCTTTGATATGAATAAGACAGAGGTTAAGAGACGAAAAATGAGCAAACAAATGAGCAAATGGTGACGGATGGCAATGAAACAGAGAACAGAGATAAAAGTCAATTCAGCAGTACCAGTAACAGTTTATTGCCTGAGATGTTTTCTGCTCGACACAGAGCTCCATCTATAATTCATGCCTTGTTTCTCTCCGTCACATCTGTAAACAAGGCCACCCTCCCGTCCGTTTCAGCAGATCTGCCAACACAGGAAGCGACGTTCCCTATCGCCAAATAAAATGCTGAACTGAAGCTGCCTTCGCTGTCAGAGGAGCAGCTGCACTGCAAAACAATAAACCTCAAAACATGAAGCCAGGAAACATTTCGCTTTGTTTTGCATGACAACTAAAATATACCACGATGGAATCAGCTTATCTGTTCGATGACCCACCCGCCGCTATCAGGGGACGCATGTGACACATAAAAGCTAAATGGCCTGAAATGTCTCCTTGGATCACTTTGGTATCGCAGTTTATCATTGACCCTCTGAACCCAAAGCGGTTTCTGGGCGTTTATTTGCTCCTGTTCGGTCACCGTGGGCTCGTTTTCTAGTGCAATACAAAGTCCTGCACATTTATGGAAACAGAAGAAGCATGACTAGAAGTAGAGAGAAGTCAGGCGTGTGTTCTGTGCAGAATGACACAATTATCACGCCAAAAATCTAAAGAGGAAGTAAAGACAGAAGTTGAATTTCATTGATTGTTTGATTTATAAAGAATGTAAAAAGATGAAATCGACATATACAACATTTTTCAAGTGCCCACAGATGTAACCAATACTGGGAATAAATGAGAACGCTGTGTACTCCAGATATTTTACCGCTTTTTGAATTGTTTCTGTGCTCGTCTTCTCTCTGCTCAGTGTAAACACAGTGTGGAAAATTTGAATGAAATATTACAATTTGAAGCTTAGATTTGAGATTTAAGTTTCTTGTGGAAGTCACATCATAAATGAGTAGTTCAAGGACCATTGGAAATGTCTGTTGATTCTTTCTGTCATTACAGTTTCTGGCTCTAACATGCCTTTTGAACCTGCAGGCAGGATTTAAGCTTCAGAGGGTTACACACAGGAAACTCTAGCAAGAACAAAACTGAAAGTTTCAAGAAACCTTCAACGGTATTGACATGAGAATAGACCAATCAAGAGCCTCCACAGAGCAGACGACTCAGCAACTGTGATGGGAGTATCTCAGATCACATACCACAGCCTGCATGTGTGGTGAAACTGCAAAAAAAAAAAAAAAAAGACTACGTCAGTCAGGGTGTTCCCGACCTCCAGCCGGGAAAATTTTGCAATACAGTAAAGCTTAACAGAAAGGACTACTGTGGCTCAAACCCATAGTGGGATTCCTTCTAACAAGCCCAGTGCCTCTCCCATTTCCCAGAGGGCAAAGCCTGTGCAAACATAGTTCCTGTCTCTTGCCTTTACTGAGCTGTTAATGGGTGAATTCCAATTTTATGAGTGTCTTCCTACCGAGCCTCCAAGTGCATTCATGCTTTATCTCAGCAGCAGTTAGACAGTTACATAAAATAAGTATTTGACTTCATGTAGCGATGAAGAGAACAAAAGTGACTGTTTAAGCTCTTTACATATATTGGACTGGATCTGCAGGAATCTGTTTTTATTTAAAGGTCCCATATTGTGACACTTTACAGCAAATGAATGAAAGTGTCTCACGTCCCCAGGATGTGTCTTTCATTTTCTCCTCATAAAATGCTACAATGATGATTCATTTTACCATGACCATGTAACCACAGGGTTTAGTTCTGCTCTGAACAGGCGTCAGCTGCATTGCTGCCGTCAGCGCCCCCTTCAGGAAGAAGACTCTCTCTGTGTCTGTGATTGACAGCGTGAAGCAAAACAGTTTTACCACACGACAGCTTTTTAATGTCTGTCTGTGCAATCAATATGCATTAAACTATCCTCAGATTCATAGCTGTTGTTGTTACTTGTGTGTGGCTACAGCTATGGCATATGTAAATGTCTTTACCTCTTCACAGCTTTTACTTTACGCCTTCAACTTTGTAACAACCACAAAATAGATTTTCACCATATGGGACATTTAAAATCAGAGTCCAGCATCTGTTCCTCATAACCAACCTGCTGTCACTCATGTTCGTCATGATGGACACCTTTGACTTCCTGCTCTTAAGGCCTGATCCTGGGTGTTAACGCTGTGTTTGTGTGTGCAGGGGACTGCTGGCTGCTGGCGGCCATCGCCTCGCTGACCTTAAACGACGACCTTCTCCACAGAGTGGTTCCTCATGGTCAGGGCTTCCAGCAGGGATACGCCGGCATTTTTCACTTCCAGGTGACAACAGCTTTACTTTCTGCATTTTAAATATGCCCACGATACAAACACAACAAACGCAGCAGACACCGCCCACACTCAGCCTGCTGGGAGCAGATGATTTGTGCTGTCAGTCCAAATGGAGTTTACTGAGACCGCTACTTATGATTCGCTTCAGTTTCGCTTGAAATAATTAGCGTTCTCAGCTGATTATTTTTGCATAGGCTTAATCCAAACGTCCACCTACAAGATTTTCATGGTACATCACTGTCATCCTATCACGTCTACAAGGACACTGAGGAATGAGATGATCAAGTATGCTAAAGCAGACCTCATTCATTTCTGTGGATATTAATAGAAAGTTTTTAATAATACCATGAATGGCATTTTATGCAGCATCTGTCCAGAATGTGACACAGAGATTCACTCTGATCTCTAACAAACGTTAAGGTACCAAAATAAACCTGAAGTTTTCTTTTAGGCTAAACTGGAGCTGCACTAAATGATGTCTGCTGGATTTATAATGACATTTTTATTTTGACGCTGAGTCAGCACAAGGTCCTCAATACTATCAGGAGATTTTTACCCTTTTTTTTATACCCCCTTCTTTGACAAGAAGCCCTCAGCCATTCACTCATTTGTCCACAAAGCAGCTTTCCTTGTATTTGAAATAGTGCTGATATCGTAATTTGTTTAATTCATTATAAATAAAAAAGTGAATCACTATAATGTTACCGTCACTTTAAGTAATCCCTTTCTTCTGTGAGGATTTCCTGATTTTATTTTAATGCTTTTTTGTGATATTAGAGTCTGGAGGAGCTGTTGTTTAAGTTATGATGTGCTTTTGTTGTTTCCGTCTGTCGTATGAGGTGCAGTCAGAAAGTTCAGAATCTACATTTGTAAACAGCAAAAACTTCACAGGACTTCATCATCCCCATGAAAGTGCTCTCCTTGTGCAGCAGTACACTGCTCCTAGCGCTCCTGCCGCACTTGAACGGCTCCCTGCAAGTCCTGTTCTGTCAAACACCTTCTGGATCTCCTCCACTGAGTCAAAATGGCGATTCTTCAACTTGAATTTCATTTTGGGGAACACAAAGAAGTCACAAGGAGATAATTCTGATGAATTGGGTGGGAAGTGATTTTGGTTTTTTGTTGCTGTTTGACCTCTGTGTCGTAGCCACAGACCCACCTATCATCGCCAAAGGTCAGCTTATTACGGGCCTGTAGACAGAGTTCCACAAAGACTTTGACACGGTGCTGGTCCATCGTGAAATCGCAAATTCACAGCTGCAAGTGCCCACAAAAACTTGATTGCACAACATCATGCATAATCTCTACTCATGAGTGTTGCTTCTTGCATCTCTTGCATGCACATGGCCCTCCATTTCTGTGCAACAGCAGCAGAATCTGAACTGTTCGATTGCACATTGTATCATGTTACAATAGAATCACTGGGAAATGAAAGCTAGATTTTTCAGTACCCAGTAGTTGTTGGCCTGATGTGAGCTCTTATACTCAACAGTACCTAATATGTTGTGCCACTTAGCAAAGGGCTTAATTTATTCCTTCTCTCCCCAGAGTTTCTCAGCTAGAAGGGGGATTTCAAACACAGTGTTTCTGTCATGAGCTCCTCTTTTCACTTGTCAGACTGTACTGAGTCATCCAAGATAACTAACCTCACGAATCCACACCCAGTCAGCCAGTGAATACACTTCACCTGAGGGGGTTTGACTCACTGTCATACTGATTTAAGCACACTCTTCAAGACTGGCCAACACCCATTTCTTTATCAGAGATAACATTTTTTTTTTTTTTTTAAATAGTCACATCTATCTTGACAAAGCAAACGCAACAAACGCTGATCCTCTGTCTGATGTGCTGAATGTAGCTCAGTATCTCCTCCTGTCTGAAGGACCAGTCCGGCTGCTTTGTGACAAAAATACTAAATACTTTTAACAGGAAGCTGAGGCTTATCAGCAGAACTGTGTTTCACCAAATACACAAAACACACAATGGATGTACACACTAAACCAAATGTGTGACCGCAGCTGCTACACACTGGAGCAATGACACAGGTGTTGGCCTGATCATAAACCCTTTTATGCTGCAGTGCGTTGAGCAGGAGAACAACACACCCATTCAGGTCAGCACAAGATAGGGAAATGTATTACAGCAGTGGTTTATAAATATGCGCCTTAGATTTGAATGTGGTACCAAAATGTAGGAAGTTCTGATTAGAGTGTGCAGGCACTTTTTATTATTAATCTCTGCAACCAGCATTTGTAGTCTATCTAAGTGTCGAATTGTTTGTTTAGTAATAATTCAATTAGTCCAACCACAAGTTCTCAGTTGGACTGAGGTCTGGACTCTGACTGGGCTACTCCAGAACGTTCGCCTTGTTGTTGTTAAACCATTTCTGTGTAGCTTCGGCTTTTTGTTTCAGGTCAACAAATATCCAAAGTTGCAGTTTTCTTGCAGGCTGCATCAGGTTGTCCACCTCTGTACTTTGCTGCATTCATTTTACTCTCTACCTTTAGAAGCCATCCGGGGCCTGCTGCCTCGAAGCATCCCCACATCATGATGCTGCCACCACCTTTCTCACAGTGGGGATGGTGTATTTGTCAGGATGTGTGGTGTTTGTTGTAAACATAGCTAGAAAAGAATGTTCACCAGATGACTTAAATCTATTTGTTAAGAAACAATCATCCTGGAATGATTAGGTAGTTTGTTTTTTTTATACAAAGCTGTGTTTTTTTCTGTGGTGCTTTTTCAGGCTGCGTTGTGTTCTACGCTTGTGGTAAGAAAAGTGAAGTGAACAGTGTGATTTACCAGATGTGTGTTATGTAATATGTAGTATTGCCTTTTAAGAACTTGCTTGTTGCTTCTTTTTAAAGTGGCTTAATTAAGCTTTAGTATTCCCCTTTATAAGTGAACAAACCTGTTGTAGCTGATTATAGCATGTAAACTCCGTCCTAGAGTGATTATGCAACATACAGTATAGTAGTGCCAGAAACAGGAATTGGGACATCTGAAACTATTTAAACTTTAGAAAAGAGCACGCTAGACTGCAGGAAGTCTATTCTTGCTTAGTCTTACTGTTCTATTCTCTTTCGTGTCTGTCTCGTGATGTCACATGCCTCCTGATCTGGGCCTGAGTGTTTCCCTGTCAAGCCTATCTCCGCTGAGCCCATCAGCGTGTCTGTAATACAGACTGGGGGGACTGAACTAAAAAGTGTTGCTAAACACTGCTCATGTTTCTTTCATGTTTCATGAAGAAGCAGCTGGAGAGACGAGTGAGAGGCAACTGCAGACTGAAAACTAAATTCAGTCTTGTATTGCTTTGCTGCTTAAGTAAAGGAACAAACATTGAGAAGACATTTCGTCAACAATCACTTCCCTCCGTGTGAGGCTGCTTTGTCAAGGAGCACTTTGAGCTGAGTCGGCTGCAGCCGTTTGATGCAGTGAACGTTTTGCCAACCAGACTGTCAGCTTGCCAAGAGAAGGGAGGAGGAGGAGGAAACAAGGAAGCCCTCACATCAAACACGCTTATTACAAATGCATAGGGACCGAGATAAAACACAACCGCACACAGACACACACACATGGCCTAGTATCCCTTCTGGATCCCTGATGTCAGCCTGATTGCTCAGTCATGGAACAGGCTGACTGACAAATCAAACTGGCTGCAGTTGCACATTCTTCACACATGCATACACTTCAGACACTCACGACTATGATTGAGACCCGATCCTCTCTGAGCTGGAAACTGTCCACTTTTCTGGGATGTCCTTGAGAAAGACGCTGAAATCCTTTCGGCTCTGGGCTGCTCTGCTGACTCATCAGATATCGGCAGATCGATAAATACCGGGACACAGACACACAGAGCTCTCATTTACACGAGTCTGCCGGGGCTGGTGACTCAGTTACAGAGAAGTCAGCCAAGGGAAAGCAGAATATGCTCACTGATTACTTCCAGAGACACTGTGTTCGTTTTTACTTTGTCGAATACAGCTGTCCTCTATATGGATGTATCACTCTTTGCTAGAATGAGCAGAAATAATGCTTCGATTTGCTCCGAAGCCGCGCATGCATGTGTCGTATGTGGAACTGTACATGAATGAAAGCTAAGTGGCTTGTTGCCCCAGTTTCATCGTCCTCTTTCCCTGTTGCTGGTCCGAGTTTTTGCTTGATCCTCTTTTGAAGATGTTTGTGCTGCTGCCAGTACATGAGCAGGTTTTTACTTTGCATTTGTGTGCCGTTGAGTCTTCCCAGGATTTCCTATTGTATTCATTTGGATCCTTTAAGCCTCTGGATGAGTTACCCAAACCTGAATGAGTCATCCCAAAATGTTATTATGAGTGCTGGCTGTGGGAAACTTAATTGGTTTAAGAAGTAGGAAAGAGAGGAGGGAGTGTGTGTGTGAACAAGCGAGGCAGGGAGACAAAAGGAGGAAGAATGAATTATGAACCAGGCAATCTCAGCCTTCTCAGTCAGAAACAAATGAAACCGTTAACTAGGGCAGAATCCTTTATGATATTCTTATTATAGCTCGTGTTTTTTCTCAGGAAGCCTTGACAGTTTGTTGAACTGAAGCGAGGATTTCTCAGGCTTGAAGGCTTGACACAGATGCGCTAAGAGTTGACTTCCCTCAGTGAGGCTGGATTGTCGCTCCCACGTAACCATGAAATAAAGGCCCCAGCAGTGTCGAAGAGTAGAAACAAGAAGTTGTGTGTGCTTGCATGTTCGCCGGGGGCAAGTCTGTATTTGTGTGTGTTGTCTTCAGCTGTATTGTGACAGAGCTCCTCCCAGAGGTGGCTTCAGAATTCAACTATTCATCCGTTTGTCTGTCTTCTTGCTGCACATAAACACAAATGACACAAAAGTGCATTCTGTAAGCTCACAAAAACACACACACACACAAGCTAATTGCCCCAACGTGCAACCCGATACATGCACAGGCATTCCAGCTGTGCTCCTCTGTTTGCTAAATGACATTCCTGCAACTCCTTTGTGCTGTTCCACCCTCTGTTCTACAAATTTGATTACTTTGACAAAGAAGTATTCCCCTCATAAGACCAAGACATGATTACTGCACTGTGAGCGCTTCCTTTGCACAAACTTTATCAAATTAGTGCCTCGGGGGTTTCTATACACGTCCAAGAGCAACTGGTTTTTCAGTTTGCATTTGCACAATATTTGCACATTAAAATGCTTCACAAACGGCTAAAATGAAGAACACGTGAGTCAAAGTGACGAGAGGCTTTTATCATCGAGATCAGGTTATGCATTCTAGTGATTATTTCTATATTTTGGGTGTCAAAAATACCAATGACATTTGGAAGCAGGACGATAAAGGAGAATATGTAGCTGCATTAGTGTCTGCAGTCCGGTGTAGGAGGCCTCTATTTGAAGCCATGTCATATTTCCATTGTGTAACTTACACCTTTGATGATAGAACATCAAGAACACCGGAGCTTTTATGCATTTCTATTGTTGTGACTGTGATCAGGAGGCTTGTTAGAGTATGTTCTGAGGTTTTTGTTTGATTCAGATCAACTGCATTAAAACAAATATAAAGAGCTGAATATTGGCAACTCGCAGTGACTCAAATCTGCAGCTCTAAAGGCGAGTATCGAGCTTAACCGTTAAGTGTTCCTACATATTTTTTGGTTGTGTTTCTATGGAGCAGCAGAGTCAACAACAGAGCCTCTGGGACACTTGATTCAGTTTATTTTGTTCTGGCTCTACACCATATCCCCCCCACCTCCCTTTCATTCAGCCTTCTAATGTTGACTTGGTTTCTTCTGCCCCCTTCTGGACAACAGGCGTATAGCTGCATGTCATGTGGGAAAAGAACAGCAGCTTTTCAGAGAGCCTTTTTTCATATCACACTTCAGAATTCACCCTGCCCTCATTTTGCCTCAGTTCACCTCCCTCAATGCAAGCCTTTGTTGTGCCTCCTGGTTCATCATCTTGCCCTGGAGATCTGACAGACATTTCAAAACCCACAAAGGGAAAATTAAAAGAAGTTTCAGTGAGCTTGTCTGAGTTTTTTTTTAATGTGTTGTACAGTTGACTTGATGAGCCGGATCTCTGCAAGTTCTCTGTGCCTGAGAATTATTGTAAACAACTGACAGCAGGTAAATAAAAGTGAGTGCAGGCAGGTTGAATCACAGCCGCTGTGGAATGTGAACTAATGAATTGCAGGACTGGTTTAGAAAAAGTCATTAGTTTGGAGGCTTTGGAGAGACTCAGGATTAGACTTGATGTACGAGATCAGGTTGAATCACAGAAGCAGGCTGATATCTACAGTATCTGTCTCATTTGTGTGAGAACAAGAGATATTTTGTCTTCTTTGTTCTGTTTTTAAATAGGTGTAAGTTGAGATCAATGAAAGTACATCTGTCAGTGGATGCATCCAGCTGAATGAATTGGACTAAACACTAGAAATAAAATACATCTGACTGATTTATTTTTAGCAATAGAAGCCTAAATCCTTTCTCAGATCGGACATATTGTGTTCATCTACCCTATATTCTTCCTCTTCTTTTCTTTCTTGTGTATTTTTTTGCTGCAAACTAGATTTTTGCATTTGATCAAGGTTGCAAATAGGAAATATTCAATGTTTTTAAGTTAAATAGGGACATGCATGAGAAAATATTGGTTTGTTTTTGTCAAAATGTACACCAGAAACAAAGAATGTCACTATAAGTTTGGCTTCCTGCAAAGTGACATTACTTCTAACTCGACTTATTTGGGATTTCTTAGAGATCGTGGTAATCCATCGACACCATTCACAGTTATGAAAGCCTATGAAGAGCACTTGTTTAGTCGTTCTTTGCAGCCAGGACCTCTGACGCCACCAGCCGAAGTATTGTGTCATTTTCTGGAGCAGAGTTCTGAAACATGTCCTCAAGTCAGAACCATGTTTTTGACTAATTCTAATTAAATCCAGCAAAGGTATTTAGGAATCAGTCATACTGAGAACCCAACAAGAACATCGGACCATGCTCATGTTGTTCTAATAGTGTTCTATGCTCTCTGTCTTTCAGTTCTGGCAGTTCGGTGAGTGGGTGCAGGTGGTGATCGACGACCGGCTGCCTGTGAAGGATGGAAAGCTGCTGTTTGTCCACTCAGCAGAGGGAACCGAGTTCTGGAGTGCGCTGCTGGAAAAGGCCTACGCCAAGTAAGACTGATGGACAGGGCAGCAGTGGAGAAAGGCTGATGATGATGATGCAGTCACACCATATCCTTAAATGCATGTTGCCTGTAACGTCATTTTTATTTTCCACTTTAGTAAAATCAGCAGGTGTGTTTTAGGTTGATACATGCATTTAGCTTGATTTTTGCACCTTAAAGTGAAAGCTTGTGCAGCAAAATGTGCGATATTAGAGAATACAAATGCCTTTTTTTTCTGTTTGCACCTAATACCTATAGTAAATCCACCACGATATAAATGTGTCGTATCTTCTTAAGTCGTAGTCTAAACAATCAATCACAAGTTCAAAAGTACAAACACTGATTTTAACTGAGGTTCAATTCCAGCTGAATCCCAAGGCTGAATAATTTCTGGTTGAAATCTGAAAATTGGATGTAGAAAGTGCCAAAGTGAGAAATACGTGACGCTGATGAAAAGGCATTAACAACTTAAGGCTCCAGCTGCTTGAACAGACAGCTGTGGTCTCAGCTGTAAATCTGGTTAGAGAAAGTGAAGCGCTGCATTGTTCATAGAAGTGTGTGTCTGCCAAGTTCAGAGAGTTTCCCAGCTGTGTGTGATGTAAAAGTGAGATTGATGCTTTGTTACACTGGCTTAGTTTCTGTGCAGGTACATGCTCAAATATGGAGCTCTGCACAGTGTGAAGCGGTGAGAGCTGAGGACAAACTGTACGCTCTGTACAGTTTCAACAGCCATTAACAGACACATCGAGCTCTGCAGTATTGTCATTAATTCTGGCCTCCATGTAAGCTCACATAGCTAATAACTCTCTATGCGCTAATTCAAAGCTTTTAATCTTTTGCCGTGTCTCAGGTTGAATGGCTGTTATGAAGCTCTGTCAGGCGGCAGCACATCAGAGGGATTTGAGGACTTTACAGGCGGCGTGACGGAGATGTACGAGCTGAGGAAAGCCCCCCCGGACCTCCACAGCATCATCGGCAGAGCTGTAGACAGAGGATCACTGCTTGGCTGCTCCATTGACGTCAGTACCGCAACAATCATACACCCTCTGACCCGAGAAAATGGGCAATTAACACAGATTTATCACAGGCTGTTTATCACTACTGTCATGTTCTGACATGGCATACCATTCAGACATAGGACACTTTTATGTTAATGTTTCTCACGGCTTCATTCAGTTATACACAAGACAGTGACAGAGACAGACACGGTACATGCATGATATTTTCAATATGCACAAGATTGGACAGTCAGTCAAGTGAAGTATAAAACATGAGACCACAGAATGCTTATTACAACTTGGTGGATGTTCTAAAAGTGCATTTCAATACTCGTACTACTGTACTATTTAATATGCCAGAAGAAGATTTTGAATGTCCCAATGCCTTCTATGGGAAATCTAGTACCACTTGTTCTGCACCGCGAAAGATTCATCACATACGTCACACTGCCTGATGTGAGTCTAAACAAGCTTAAAGAGAGCACAGACAGATAACAGCCCATTCAAGGGCAATCCTGCTTTGCAAATACCATACTTCTTCTTTTTACTTCAAATTTTCCACTACAGACTGCAACAACTATGTGAGGAACCTGGTCAAAGTTTAAGGCGCAATATTATGACAGAATTGCATGTTTTAAATGTGTGCATACTGCATGTAACAGTTTGACCTTTGCAAGGGCAGCTCGTGAAAATACAAATAGAAAGTGTGTGATTGGCAATGCAGGGGTTGTTTTTCTCATGTTACTGCACATTTTGTGACTTCACCAAAACAATGGAGGGAATTAGTTACTTCCTTGAGTTGTGTGTCGCCCACTTTACATAAAAACATTCTCCACCAGTGCATTGTAATCCTGTGGGTGTGTATCTGTTCATGCAGTCACAAACAATTCAGACTTGTGCCGTGTTAAAAGTGACACGGAGATGTTACTCGGCTCAACCTAGTTAGAGTGCCACTCGGCCTTTTACAGAAGAGTAAAGGCGCTATTGTGTTGTTTTCAGCTAAAACAAGCTGTAAAAAATCTACCCAGTCCATCCAACTAATCCTTCAAAATTGTACCCTCTACCTCTACAAGCCTTCCAGGGCCTGCTGCAGAGAAGCATCGCCACATCATGATGCTGCACCACCATGCTTCATGGTGGGGATGGTGTGTGGGTAGCGTTTGGTGTCACGGTGTCTAAACTGATGGCCAAAAAGCTCAATTTAGATCTTATTCATCTAAACAACCTTATTCCAGTTGTCTCTTACATGCTTTCTGGTGAAATCTAGTCAAGAATTTTTTTTTTTTTACGGTGACTCTTTCTTTGTCATTCTCCTATAAAGATTTGACCGCTGAGGAACAGGCACCAGTTGACTTTCCCATCTCGGCCACTGAGGCGTTTAAATTGCTTGTAAATGAAATTGACAAAAGCAATAAATGGGAACCTTTTTATTTGGACTGCAAACTTAAAAGATGACAGTTTGTGTCCACAGCTTGTTTTAGGTGATTTTAGACACTTATTGCAGGTTTAATTTAACGTCAAGAGTTCTTGCTGTAAAACCACATGTGGTTTATTTATTTTTTTGTATGCATTAAACAAAAAAGATACGACCTGTACATTAGTGAGGTTAGGTTAGATATGTTGCTTTGTTTTTATTCTCTGTGCTAAGCTAAGCTAAGCAGCAGTCAGGGCTGAATGTACATTTGTCATCCAGATGTATTAATAGAGTGCTATCGATCTTTCCATCTAGCTCTCGGCAAGAAAGTGAATGAGCTTCCCCACCAAATGCCAAACTATTCCTTTCACTTATCTGGGATTGACAGGTTCAAAAATGACGCTGTCAAAGTAATCATATGAATATTAAAATTGTCTGATGTAAATATAATGAAAACAATTCATCACCTCAGTTTTCATTCCCTCCTGCAGGTTTTAACTGTAAAAGCAGATGACCCTGTGCAGCTGAGGTCAGCCTTTCTCAGTCTCAGCGCTCTGCACAACAATTAGCTACTTTACACTAATTTAATGCCATACATGCAAGTTTAAACAATAACTGAAGTCATATAACTACTTAAAATTTACAGTTCCAGCTTTTCCAGTGTGATAATACTCTGGGAATCTTGATGATACTTTAAATTAGTTTAAGGTTTTTGGTTTCTTGTGATTGGTAAAAGGCACTTCAGCTCTTATTTTAAATGATACATGAGAAAATATATTCATTTTCAATTTATTTTAATGATAAAAAGTTGCAGAACTAAAGTGCCTCCTACCAATCGATCAGGAGCTAGTTTATGGTGTATGACATGGTGTACTCTCTTTAACTTGACCCTGCTCAAGGGAGGCTGGAGGTCAGAGTGAGCTGGACATCAGCAAAGAAAAGGCTGGAAAGGTTAGAGATAGACAAGGTTTAACCAGGAGAGGGCAGTGAAGATTGAGGAGAACACGTTAAAGTTGGCAGGAATTCAGTATGTCAAGGACACTTGAGCAAAGCATATGTTTGCAGACAAGGAGGACTGAACTCTGTCTGTCTGTGATCAGTATGTCTCCCTGTGGGTCTCAGTTTGGGTACGAATCTGCCAGATAAAAGCAAAAGTAAACACACTGTCTTCTCCAGAAAAGGTGAAATAGTAAAATATGGCATTTACACTCCACATTTATTGCTTTAGGTTTGACTTTGTGTGAACAGTTTTACCTGAAAAACTTGAAAGGAAACTGATGGTATGCAGAATAAATAAGGAGTTAAGTTTGACGACAGTGTTCTCAAGCATTATGTTGTTCTTTCAGAATGTTATTCAGTCTACAGGCGAGATCGTGCTGCATCTCCATCAGGTTCCACCCATGGTGTGACTGGTGCCATGTCTGTGTTTATATGAGCTGAAGCACCCAGTGACAGTCGTCTCTCTAACGCAACTGTCACTCTGTGAAGGTTGCTAATGTGAATCAATGATCCACAGTGACCGTGACCGCTCTCTGTAGATGTCACTAACCCCGTCACATGCGGTGCTCCAGGACACACATACATTTCCTCCCGTCTTTGTTGCCATCCGACTGACTTTGTGAATCTTGTTGTGGATGTCGGTGACCTCTGTTTTATTTACTTGTGCGTTCTGTGTTGTTTCCGTCTCAGGTCTCCGGCTCATTTGACAGGGAGGCCGTCACGTTCAAGAAGCTGGTGAAGGGACACGCCTACTCTGTGACTGGTGTGGACGAGGTGAGTCGTAACACAGAAGGTCAGTGGACATGTATCATAACTAACTGGACTTTGACAACTCCAGAAACTGAGCAGATGCATGATGGATGAACATGTAGTCTGAATTTGATTTATGGATTTGAAGTCCCTCTCCTCTAAAAACTTAATGTAGCAAAGTTACATATTTAAATGCTTTTTTCCAAATAATCCCCTCAATCCTCTCTTTTTGTCATTAGAAATAAAGAGATGAGAATCTAGTCATGCTGAAGACACTTAGAAACAGAGATCATCCCTGATATCTTTCTCACATGATGAGTAAAGTCCAACTCACATGAGAACACGTGATAAACTCTAATTTCTGCTTTATACCAAATGCTCAATTGATTGAAATGACTTGAGTGTAACATCCTATTTAGGACAAACCTGAAGTAGGAACACATGACTGTGTGCGGCCCATTTGTGCAGCCCGAAGAGGCAGTTAAACGGAAACATGAACGTCAGGTGTGTTTCTTTGCCTTTAGGTGGTGTACAGAGGAAATATGACAAAGCTGGTTCGCATCAGGAACCCATGGGGGGAAGTGGAATGGACTGGAGCCTGGAGCGATAAGTAAGATTTAATCAAGGACACAAATGACACAACCTATTACAGAAAACACAAATGGCCTAATTTCCTGTTGAGGCAGACTGACACCGTAGAGAATTTAAAAGCTGTTTCAGAGAGTCTTTGGTGATTATTTTGTCTTGCATTGAATTGATATAACCTTATATCGTGAGGTTGACAAAATGCCTTTGTTGTGTATTTATAGTCATTACTGCGTTCTCAGATCTAAATAAGTCCCAGTCAGACAGACAGACAGACAGAACAGTGGGGGAGGATGGAGAAATGTGAGAAATGCAGTTCCAAAGTAAAAAATTCCAGATGTTCTGCCCTCTGGCGATGTTACATCACAGCTAAATCGACCACTTTCAGTGCTGCTTCTCTCACTGCTGCAGTGAATTTGCAACTGTACAATAGATTAAATAGAAGAAAACCCTCATGACAGTTTTTTTAGTACAGATTTCATCACAGCCTTCTCCATTCTGGTGATTTGATGTCTGAAACTGGCCGCTGTGCCTGAACTAAAGTTGTCAAGAATCCACTAACTGGAACCTAAGTCTGCTAATATTTCCACTTTTATATCATAAGTCCTTCACTGAGTTCAGTTGTGAAAGCTGGCAGACTTGGCAGACGGTTTAAGGTGAAATATCAAAAATAGCATCTGGTTGGGATCAAGTGGTCACACGGTGAGTTCATCTGCCAGCTGACCGCCGAGTAGGTCAGAGGTCAGAAGATATTTATTGCTCTGCAGCTGCTCTTAGCACTTTTCTAGTGTGGTGTTATAGCAGGGAATGCAGTGCAGAGGTTTTCAAACTGTGACAGATGAAATAGTGAGCTCATCGGTCAGCTCCTCCATTTGTCCAACTGTGGATTTTTAACCATTGTTGGCTTTGGATGTCTAACTTTGATCCAGACGGAAATATTTCAGTATTTAATCAAAGGATAGACATATTCACAGACATTCATTCTATAGCTTCCATCACCTTTTCATCTACAACAGCTCTGAGGGTCAATGTTTGTTGATATTTATTGTTATATCTGTGAATTCACATTGAACACCAGTTAGCTCAGTGTTTTAGTGCTTTCTTTATTTGGGGTCCGAAACTCTGTAAAATATTTTGGCAGATGTTTTAGAATTTCCTGTTTCAATCTTTGTATATTCACCCTCAGAACATGTTACCTGAGAAGTCATATTAAAGGTTCAGGATCTCCAGAATTATAGCTCCCACAGCCATGAGATTTGCTGAGGACACAGACAGAACTATTTCCCCAGATTCAAATGATTAAGTGACTCCAGCAGAGACGCTATTGTTAATTACTGACCCTTGAAATTGGAAAAATGTGTAAAATTCTCTAAATTCAGCCGAATAAGTCAACTGTGTACAAAATCCTGGACGGTGCAGCAGAATATTTCCTCAACTCTGTCAGAGTTGACACAAACTGACCCATCTGTAGCCTCAGCGCTGTCAGTGGATAGTTCATTTTTACACAGTCGTATGTTTCCTGTGTGAAATCTTCAGCTCCAGAGAGTGGGACAGTGTGGATCGCTCCGTCAGAGGTCGCCTACAAAACCGCAGCGACGACGGAGAATTCTGGTGAGTGTTCGTCTGAAATACAAACACTTACGATTAGTGTCAAATATAAATGACTAAATGAAATGGGCTCTACAAGGTCAAGATGAAATTCAAGCCATCAGAGCAGAAAATAATAGAATATACATCAAGAATGACACTCAGACATGGTGGACGTACGCTGCTCTGGCGCTGTGTTAGTTTCCCACAGCGCTGCTTTATTTCTGTGGTCTGTTTGACGTGTGTATTATCTTTGTGTCAGAATGTATATACTGGAATTGCCAGGGTCGTTTTTCATCTACGCTAAAACAAAGTTCCACTCTTGGACTTGCGACGGAACAATAACGATAACCCGTCTCTCAGGATGTCGTTCAGCGACTTCCTGCGTGAGTTCAGCCGTCTGGAGATCTGCAACCTGACGGCCGACGCCCTGCAGAACAGCCAGCTGAAGAAGTGGAGCTCGTCGCTGTATCAGGGCGAGTGGAGGAGAGGCAGCACTGCTGGAGGCTGCAGGAACTTCCCAGGTATGAACTACCCCAGTGACCAAAGGGAGAACTGCTGAGTAGCAGATGGAGGGAAGTGTGGGAGACAAATAGGAGCGTATTTTCAGTTTAATTTGTGCATTTCTGGTAATAAAACCCTCTCACAAGACCCATGTCAGAACCTCATGGTGTTAAATTCAGTTTACGGAACACTGAACACTTTTTATTTGGTATAAAAATGTTTAAATCATGCTGGTGCTGAAGGAGGGAGGGAAGATTTGGGTGAATTTCCTGCAGGAATGTGAACCAGTGACTCCTATTTAAACAGTGAGCAATAAAACAATGGCCTGTTTGCTGAATAAATTCTGGAAATGCCCCATCGTGACCTGCATGGAAGTGGAGTCTGCTTTCTTGATTTGTTGTGACGTGGAGTCGAAAATGTATTTTTTTGCTTCTCAATTGAAAACCCCCCACATAATTTCAGAAATGCTTATAGTGTTTTTGATCACTGTTGCTCTACTTGTCATCAATCTTTTTCACAAAAGTGCCATTCGGTATTTATCGTGACAGACTGGACTGTGTATAAAGTACTTACAAACCTTATTACTAACATTTTAGCTTGAATGAAGAAACAATCAGACTTTGTTAACCTCTCGTTTCCAGCAACTTTTTGGCTGAATCCTCAGTTCAAGATTGACCTGCAGCATCCAGACTCTCCCGGCCAATCAGACTGCAGCTTTTTGGTTGCTCTCATGCAAAAGGACCGCAGGAAGAAACGGCGAGAAGGCAAAGACATGGAGACCATCGGGTTCGCCGTCTACGAGGTACGAACATGCCAGAAAACTCAGCTTGTAACACTTGTGTGCAGCTTACACTAACAAATACCTTTTCTGTGTTTCTTATGTCGCTGATAATAATCTGTTCTGTCTGTTGTCTTTGCAGGTTCCGAATGAGGTATGAGTTTACCTACTTCTCATTTTCTGATTGTTTAGAAATAGAATGAAATGCTTACTCTTGACCTTCCCTCTCAGTTTTCAGGGAGGTCGGGAGTTCACCTCAAGCGAGAGTTTTTCCTCACCCACGCCTCCAGCGCTCGCTCAGAGCTCTTCATCAACTTGCGGGAGGTCAGCTCGCGGTTGCGGCTGCCGGCTGGCGAGTACATCATCGTCCCCTCCACCTTCGACCCGCACAAAGAGGCCGACTTTGTCCTCAGGGTTTTCTCCGAGAAGCCTGCCAACTCTGAGTGAGTGGCTCCAACTAAGATGTTTGAGGTGGAAATGATGTTAATCACAGGGGAGCTAACGCATATGTGGAAGTGTAGCAGTGATCTGATTCATCTGAGACCCTGAGATGCAGGTGATGAAGACACTGGTATTCAAATATACACAAAGGGACAATACAGGCAAAAACCACCTACGACTAAAATGAAAAAATTACAGATAAAATATATGAGAAGTTTGTAAAAAAGAGAAAACTTTTAGGTAGATTTCTGGGTGTTTCTTCACTGTGGGTCCATTTTTCACTGCAATGAAAAGTCCTGCACCTCTACTGAAACAGCATAAACATGTCTTGAAGTAAACATCTCTTCTATCCAAAATTTTAATGTTGTATATCATAAAAAAAAAAAAGTTGAATGTCTTTGAGTATCTATTTTACAAAAATCTGAAAAACACCTGGATCCAGCATCTGCAATATTTTGTGTCCACAGTGGTTCCCAATACTGGAAAATAAACAGATATTTTGCTGTTTATATTTTTAAATTGATTCCATACTGATTGCAGATTTGTCACTAATGCCTTCACATTTGCACTGAGGAGCGCAGATTTTTTGTTTTTTAACAGAATCTCACTCAACAGAGGGTTCATTTTTGGCAAATGTTTTAAAAGAGACACATAGAATAAAGTGATTTTGATGAAATACCGCATTTTTAACCTCAGATTTGGTTAATTTTCCAAACTGAACCACATGTCACAGATTAGTTGTTAATATAACGCGAGAAAGTTGAAAATCTGTTAAATATTTTGGCTTTTACAGTTTCTAGCTCTGATAGATGGTGTAATTTTGGCATTTTTTTAAATATCATTTTGGGGATCAGAGGGTTAAAGAGCTTGTAGCTTTAACACATATTTCAATATATTTTTTTTCCTTCTTTCTCTGTTAGGGAGCTGGATGATGACGTTATCGCGGAGCTTCCAACAGAGGTATAAGAAAGAGACGACTGACACTTTGAACACATGACCGCTTACGTTGTGTGAAAATAAAAGAACGAAATGAACAAATTTCTGTTTCAGGTTCGTGTAGATGAGAGCCAGATCGACGCAGGCTTCAAGAGTCTCTTCCGGCAGCTGGCAGGAGCGGTACGTTTGCTCTGCTGGAGGTGCAGATTGGAAAAGTGGTTCAGTGTAAATGAACAGGTCATGTTTACTGACCTCTGTTTGTGCCAACAGGACATGGAGATCAGCGTGGCGGAGCTGCAAACTATTCTGAACAGGATCATCAGCAAACGTTAGTGGAAATCATTCCCATCATCATCAGAGCGTTTTTGCCTACAGCTGCAGTTTAATTTTACATTTTTCAAAATGTCATGTGTCCAGTTTGGTTGAAGGTTTTTCAGTATAAACTGTTAAAGATGTTCTTGTCTTTGTTTCCGTCTTCTTCCTGCTGTAAACAGACAAGGACCTGAAGACAGACGGCTTCACAAAAGAAGCTTGTCGCAGTATGATAAACCTCATGGACGTATCCTTGAAACTGTTCTCCACTGGACATACATCTGGAGGACAGGCCCACTGGTTTGTTGGGTCCTTCTTGTCTCACCTCTGGAGCTTTGACCTCTTGTGAGCTTAGAAATGCTGTGAAAAGTTCATCCAGTGACCATGACATGTTCCTTAACTCCTCCACTCAGAACGATGGCAGCGGTAAGCTGGGCCTGGTAGAGTTCCATGTCCTCTGGGAAAAGATTAAACGATACCTGGTGAGACTGAGCTCTGATTGGTCCAACAGGGGGATAGGGCTAAATATTGGCTTTGATTCTGACTCACGGTTCTTGCATCAGCCTGTTGTTTATTTTGTCTGCTGGCCAGTTCTCTTCTTTTGCTTGTCTGCTGGTTTCTTTCCATTTTTTTTGTTTCTCCTCTCTCTTGATGTCTCCATCCTTTTGTGCCCCGCCAGACTATATTCAGGCAGTTTGACCTGGACAAATCGGGCACCATGAGCTCCTACGAGATGAGGATGGCTCTCGAATCTGCAGGTGCGGTTCGTTTTCACATCGAAACAAGGAAAACGAGGCATTCTTTGCACATTTAAAAGGTGTTGCTGCTGGGTTGTGAGTTAGTTGTGTGCCCTCCTGCAGGTTTCAAGCTGACCAACCACCTGTTCCAGCTGATCATCCTGCGATACACGGAGGACGACATGGCGGTCGACTTTGACAACTTTGTCACCTGCCTGGTCAGACTGGAAACCATGTTCAGTGAGTGGCATTACTGCAGCCCTTCAGCACCTCAATGCAACACTTCACATATTATCCCATTTTAGCTACAATAAAAAGAGGCAAAAGCACCAATAAGCACCTTTTTATCACCTCACTTTACAGCAGAAACCTGCAATCTAAGTGCTTCTCATGTTCCTCTCTCTGCAGAAACCTTTAAGACCATGGACACAGATGCAGACGGGCAGATATCCCTAAACTTCGTTCAGGTACAGCTGAGCAAACTCCTCCCACACTTTGCTATTCTTACAGACTCATGTACATTGTGATTTATTGCCGTGCTCTCCTTGCCCCACAGTGGATCACCCTGACCATGTTTGCCTAGAGACCAGCGGACTCCTCTGTAGCTGTCGCGCTGCATCCTCCTGCAGCTCCAGGCCCAGTTATCTCTTGTTTTCAGAAGTGCCTTTCCTCTTCCAGCTCTTCCTCTTCTTCATGCTGCTTGGTGCTGAGGCCATCTGACGCTTTAAAAAAAAAAAAAGAAAGAAAAAAAAAAAACACCTGCAGATTCATCTTTACAGTGCCTGTTTTGGAATCGTGTGCCAATCCGTCATTTGCCGCTTCTCGTTGCCTGGCTGTTCGCTCTGTGATAGCTCTGACAGCGAGACAATACAAAGGTTTCTTCAAGGCAGAGCGAATCTGGAGGCAGAAATTAATCTAGTGTTTAGATTTCAGTTTGACAAAGTAACTTCTGTTAAATATAAACTGGAAATAAACAAGTCAAACCTTTTTACGTTTACTCCTTAGCCAAGCTGTAGTCAAAGTTGAAAGAAAGACCAAACTTAATGTAAAAAAAAACCCCTAAATTAATAAATGGAATAGGGGACAATAAACACTACATCAGTAATTGCAAAAAAAATTAGGATGAACTGGTCATCATCATCTTGTCTCTTCAGCAGAATCAGCCTGGTTTATCTGTTCTATTATCTATTATTCTATTAGTTTCTGTTCGTCTTTCAAGTAGGACTTCAACAAAGGATTATTTTCATTGTAGATTATTTTCTCCATTACATATTTGGTCTATAAAATGTTTCCCAGAGCCCAAGATGACGACCTCAAAATGTCTTGTTTTGTGTACAAACCCAAAGATAATCCGTTTACTGTCATCGAGGAGGAAAGAAACCAAAAATATTCACATTTAAGATGTTTGAATCTGAGAATTTCTGTTTTTTTAAGTAACAACAAGCTCAAACCTGTTCATGAAAATAAGCAAGTTGAGAGCTGATCGATTTATTGAATCGTCGCTGCAGCTCTGATGTTCCATCTTTGGTTTACTTGCATCACAATCGTGTTTTTTTCTGACCACTGCTCTGTAGCTGAACCAAGAACTTTTGCCTCCACTGTGGGAATCTTGAGTCATGGTTTTGCCTCTTTCAAGTTGGTCAAATTTCTGAATTCCTTCTTATCAGGACTGACCATGAATGATGACTCATTAGAGATTCAAGTTTATATTCAAATTTCTACTTCATAAGCACTCAGTTGGAACCGATACATTCAACTGCAGAAGTCAATCATTTGTGCTTGAGGACAATCTTCTGGGAACTGCTCTTGAAGCCGCTGCCTGTCAGTTATCACAGCCTCGGTGCCAAATGTGGTCCAAGTGGAGAGCTGCTGAGTGTTCGGCTTGTTCTGCAGCCCACTCCATGTAACATTCAGTATACACGAATGTGAGTATAAATCTCGAGCAGGTCCTCGCAGCAGCACTGCTGGCCTGACATTTTCTGTTTACATCTTGTGCCAAACTTTGCTTTCACCTCAGCACTGAGGGCTCATGAAGCTTTACTGGGCCCCTGCAGTTTATGCAGAGACGATGGCGGTGTACTGTATCGTATAGAATGTGTTCTATAAATCTACTCCTGCATCATACATACCGGCTTATCATTATGCATGGCACTTTTTACAGACTTGTTTTAAAGAATATGAAAAAAAAAACAAAAAACACACATTTTACCTTTTATGCTTTTATGTAATTTTTGGGAACTGGATTTCATCATAAAAAGGGATGTGTCAGCCTTGTTTAATCTGTTCTTTCATCGGGAACAAGATGTCAATATTTTAAGGGAAGGCAAACAATTATGCAAGAGGGATGGCTACGTTGTGTGCATGCATTGTGAAATGTGACATGTTCTCTGCTTCCTATACCTTCTGCTCTAGTGTGGGGAGCAAGAGTTGTATTTGAAGAATAGTATTCCATGTATGAGGGTCTACAAGAAGTCAAAAGACAAAACTGTCTCTTCTGCCAATTATTCTTCAATCATTTTTTTTGTCTTACATAAATGGAAGAATTGCTTAACATCAAATGTGACTGCCAAATCCAGTTTGTTGCAGAGTAACGCTTATGTAACGTTGTGTAATGTTTACAATAGCAACATTCTTGGTTTCTTTGAACCCGTTCATCATGCAACACATGGGTTTACTGTGCGGCTTTCTCTGTCCGACCTATACACACTTTGAGAATAAACATCAGGAGGTTTTTATGAATCTCTGAATTCATCATCGACTTATATTTGTGTTGAACGTGCCAGTCAAGGGTGACATTTTGATGGTTGTAATGAGTCAGAAAAGTACCTCCCCTCCACATTTCAAAGAACCACACAAACCAACTTGTTATAGTAATAAATAGTACTTTTAGTAACAAGTCATATTAAAAAACAAACACAGTAAAATACCTTAAATCTGCTAATGTACATTTCAACAACATCATAACATTAAGATCTTTACAGCAGATTTTTGCTCATTGTTAAGTTAAATTGCAGACATTTATAAAACTTGATCACATATTTTAAGTTAGAACAAATACGCCTTCTTTACAAAAAACCCCCCCAAGAAACTGAGAAGCGACTTTGTCTTGGAGCTGCTCAGTGGAGGAATGTATGTCATGCAGGGCACAGCGACATGAAACAAAGGTTGTGTGCATTATTTAAATTTACATATACATCAGAGATTCTTCAGGTGATCATCTTTTGACCTAAGACAAAAAAAAACAGCTCACCTAAAAGACAAAATAAGAGGGATTTTCTTTGGCACGATAGCAATAAATGGCAACCATATCCACCTAAAGTGTCCTTGAGTTGTACCACAACACTGAACTAAAGCGCCTGGCGTCTCTTAGGCGTAGTTGTTGTTGTGCTCGATCTTGGTCACCATGGTGGAAACCAGCCGCTCAAGCTGCTCCGCTCGCTGCTTCCCCGTCTGAAGCACCTCCTCGTGGTTGGCCTTCTCCTCGCTGTCGTAGTCCATCACCGCCTGGTTGGTGATCAGCGAGAGGGCGAAGACGCGCATGCCGCAGTGGCGCGCCACGATCACCTCGTGGGCTGTGCTCATGCCTGCAGGGCAGAAGAAGACTCGCATTAAAACATGTGGATAAAAGAGCTACAGTTGTCATTTCACAACTTAAAACCTTGACTTGTGATGGAAGGTCTCCATAGCTCACCAAAGAACTAAATATGGGCAAATAACGTGAGAATAATCACAAAGAAACCCTATGTAATGCAGCTTTAAAGTTATGTTTCTTGCTGTCCGGTTAAAGTAACTACAGTTGCATGCAAATGTTTGAGCAAATGTTCGAACACATTGATTTTTGAAGCAAAAAGAAATAAATAAAACCCCTGCAGCAACTTCTTTACTTCGAAGCGGTCATTGCAGTTAACTTGCTTCATTTTAGACAGTCATGGGTGTTAGCACATGGTTCACAGGTTTGAAAGTGTTTTAAAAGCCCTAGTGTGTCAATCAATGCCTAATAATTTCATGAAGGGTTTACAAGTAGAGCAATGACCCCAACTTTTGCACATGCTCCAGGTGAAGTGATTTATTGATGTAATTTTACCATCTGAAATAAAAAAAATGCAATTTGCCCAACTTTTGCACATAAATGTCAAAAATAATCTGCATTGTTGCCTAATAATCACCACTATGTTGATATAAACTACTCACCGACAGCATCGGCGCCCAGTTTGTGCAGCATGCGGCACTCGGCAATCGTCTCGAACGATGGTCCGCCCAGCACGCAGTAGACGCCCTCCTTCAGGAAGTCTCCATAGCCGAGCTCCTGGCCCACGTCCATGGCCAACTGCTGCAGCTCTCTGTCGTACGCATCGGACATGCAGGGGAAACGCACACCGAACCTGCAAGAGGAAGAAATGACAGGTGAGTGAATACAGAGGGTGGAGGGAGAATCATTGCTGAGGTTTGGTGTTGCAAGACTGCTCTTGTGCAAACACACGTTTGCATTTTTTAAGACTGTACAAGAACAACAGGTACCTCTCATCATTGGGTCCAGCCAGCGGATTGTTGCCAGCGAAGCCGGGCATGTTGAGGTGGTCTTTGATGATCATGACGTCTCCCACTTTAAAGTCCTGGTTGAGGCCTCCGGCTGCGTTGGTCAGCATCACTGTCTCGACACCGAGCAGCTTGAAGATGCGCATCGGCAATGTGATCTGGAGGAACACACACAGCGCATACATAGACATTATGTAATCATTCACGAGGCACTTCGGTTTCAAGCAGCATGACAGCATTTCTTAAAGGTCATGGATTACACGGAACACTGGCTTTTAAAGACGTCAAACCACATCGGGTTCAAGAGTGCAACCAGAGGAACTTGCTGCAGGATGAACTCACCTTCTGGATTGGATATCCCTCGTACAGGTGGAAGCGTCCCTGCATGCAAACGCACGGCCGTCCCTTCAAGGTGCCAAACACCAGCCGTCCTGCATGTCCGTGCACTGCGAGAAACAACACAACCGGTCAGTAAAGATCAGGAGTTTAAGTGGAGAACGTACGCTTGAGAAAGGTTTGCTCTCTCACCAGTGCTCTGTGGGAAATTGGGGATGTCCTTGTAGTTAAAGGCCACCTGGTCCTTCAGCATGTCGGCCAGCCCTCCGAGCCCCGAGCCGCACACGATGCCCACTATGGGTCGGACGTCCGTCTGGGCCAGCAGCCAATCAGCAGTGGCCTTGCAGTCCTCGTAGCTGTAGCTGGATGACATGAAATAAGGTCAGAGGTCAGAATGACACTCCAGGACGACTGAACACAAAGGTTAGGGCATTGTCAGATGGTGTTAAAGTATCATCCCTGGCTTCTTATCAAGCCGGGGATGATACAAAGTGACTGCTGGAGGATCAGCAACAAAGAAACTGATCCCATTTTTGGATTTTTTTGGACATGTTTGTGCCCTCATTTGCCACCAAGTTCAGCTTCAACACTTCTCTTTGGCCCCTCATTCGTTTTAGTAACATGTGATGTGATCATTACTATCACGTTACAGCTTTTTTCTGGGCAGCAGGCCCAATCTGGGGACTTATAAGGGTGTGACTTTTGATACACACTCTCACACACACATTCCTCCAGAATCTCAGCGTGTCACAACCACTTCACAGTCACTTGGCTGCTCTTTTAAAATCCTTTAAATCAGACAAAGTGCGAGTTTCAGCAGAGTAGCTCCTAATTCATTGTGAAATGACAGGCAGGATTAAATGAATGGTTTTCCACTTAGCCCACTGCTGCCCAGTGCGCATGTGCAATTTCTTTTTTTCATTTTTGGCCCTGAGCCAAACATATTTTTGCTCCATGTCGCAACCGGCCCACGAAGAGGCCATGTGTTCAGCAGCATGGGAAGAGAAAACCTGAAAGTACAGTCTGTTCAATAGTGTACTCACCCTTTGTTTGCCTCAGGAAACATCGCTGAAGATTCAATTAAGTGTCTGAGGTAAGAAAAAAGTAAAAGTGTGGCTGCGCAAAAGTTCCAAAGTAGAAAAAGAAAAAATCAAAGCAGAGCTGTTTGAAATATTATCAACAAGCCGGATGGAATTTTTTCTTTTAAAAAGTTCTTCTTTTGAATTTCTTCTTCAGTTAGTGGGTCCTGTTCAAGTCTTCTGTCCTTGTGGCAGGAGCGCAGTCGCCGGGTTTATTATAGGCCCGCAAACTGCGCTCCTCCTCCAAATGACGCAAGTAGCTGCGGCTGCGTCATTGGCTCAGCGGACACACCTTCACCGCAACTCACAAGACGTTCAAATGTACATCCTCTCCCCTCCCTGTTCCGGGCAGCACAAATTCACTGGAATCCCTCTTTAATGACAGCACGAAGCTTCGGCAACATCACACTCCTCAGGTCTTGTCAGTGAAGGATCTCTGGATAGTTTCCCTTCAGTTATTGTCTCAGATGAAAAACGAGACGTGATGATGAGTTTTGAGTCCAGCTTCGGTTGGGAAATATTCCGTTTGGAGCGTCACGTGTGTCGGATTCATCTGATTGTTGTTGCTGCTGTTGTCGTCATCAGTCTTTGTGTTTTCATGGATTGTGTGTACATGTAGTTCCATGAGTTAGCGCATGCTCAGTGGTACACAAAAATACACTAACGCCAGCTGCAAAGGACTGTAAATAATACAGTAAATCCTGTTTTGTAGATTAAGATCCCACAGCACACATATCTGACTGTTATCACATATTGTTTTAATTCAATTATTCATGCATAAATAATATAATACTATTTCCATTAATAGTATATGTACATGTGATATATAACATATAACTTTGGAGATAATCCATTCTGTTTCTTGTTTATTTTAATAATTACACATGCGTTCACTTTGGTAAAATTTTGTGTTTATAACATTTATATTTCTAGATTGTTGCAGGACTTCTTATACTTCGTCTCGCATTCACTGCTGCTCGGAGTGAAACTATGGCATCAAATGTAATTATTTGTGTCCATTCAACTGCTGCGATATGAAAACACAAGTGTAAAAACAGGAAGTGTGCAGTTTATTCAGATTCTATATACTTCTATGTAACTTTAAAACAAACTTCCAACCTGTGAGTGAGGCTAAAGACAGTATTTTATCATTTCTCATGAGCAAAATAATAAAATGGAGCAATAACATTTTTAATTTTAATTCTATCGTCTAAAAAAAATTGCATTATATTGACTTCTTTCTTGCAGAAAGATATGATGCACTTTCTACAAACAGTCCTATTGGAATCCTTTTTGAATTGACCGCTGATGTGCTTGTGTTTTCAATAAGCCAATAAATCACCTGCAAAATGATCTAACATATTGAACAGCATGAAAGAAAATGCCAAACAGACAATCTGAAATACATGAAAGGGATGTGATAAAGCAGGACGTCAAACGTTGCTATATGCATGAACGTACGACCTTCTCCACCTCTGAAGCCACCACTGGGGATCCAGATAAAGATCTAAATCAAGGTTGCATTTCTGATAGTTTGACCGCTCAGGCTGTGCATTGTTTTTAAAGAACATTGCATCCCTGCGTGTTCTAGCTTTTGCTGCCAGTAACACCTAACAATTGTACAAAACATACCCGGTCCCATGTGTTAGTGTGAAAGTCGTAAATGAGAGAGATTACATCCATTAAGTCATAAATATTATACACTGAATCCATTTTGCTGGGTCATGGTTGCACACTGTACTAATGCTACATGTTGCAAGCGTACACACAAACACAGACACACACACACACACACACACACACACACACAAGCATCCACAATCACGAGGAATGTCACCTGGACTGAATGTCCTGTAATCAATGTGCCATAATAATGTGGACACACATTCAAGGGGGGTGTGAAGGAGCAGAAAACACAGCAGAGAGGTCAAAAGGTTTGGAGAGGAGATATGTGATCTCCCAACCGTGGAAGAAGCACTCAGATCCTTTAGTAAATCAGAAAAATGTAATTTAAGTATCAAAAGAAGAAGTGCTCTCCCTGTGATTTCACTTAATTCGATTGCATATGACAATCATCTATGTGTTATTTTAATTAGTTTCTGACATGAATCAACTTGCTTAAAGACTTTTTTTTCTTTTTTAGAAATGAGTGTGAGAGTTACTGAGACAGATACTGCAGGACAAAGGTAAGCCGGTTGTACAGGAAATTCAGCGGCAAGAAGGGCATCCGTGTACTACAATTACCACAACCCCAACTTATCTCTGAGGAAGTGCAAATACATGATAAAGTGACAAATGAAGGAGAGGTGTGCCAGAATGATGTGCGACAATGCTGCATTGTGAAGATTTGAAGAGGGCCCGTGTGAGTTCTAAATGAGGTGATTTTGGGTCATACGGTGAGTTAATAATTACCAGCTGACCGAACACTATTGCCCCAGAGCAGAGATTGTGCTGCTAATGGCTTATTACCATATACAAGAGAAGGGCACCATCACTTACATGTCAGATGATTCCACATTGCATCACCTTAAAGGCATTGCATTACTCCTAAGTTGAACAGTGGGGTGTTTGTCCTTATTTACAAATTGAAATTAACAGTTTAGATTTACTGTATTAAAAATAGCCCACAGTAGGAGCTGCATGCAGCTAAAGTCCGGGTTTTATTTTAATAGTTAGTACGTCCACCTTTGTTTTTGGTCCCTCGGCATGATAGGTTTGAGTGTTGCACAAATTTATCAATACAAGTCAGGCGACAAACTTGCCCAGGTCACAGCTTTCACTTTTTTGTCTTTAGGAACTCTTATGTAATTTTGGCAGCGTGCTTTGGATAGTTACCCTGCTAATATATTCCTTTTCTGCCAAGCTTTTGCAGACTGGAAGGAATCTCGACAGCTACTGTTCATGCAGCCCCATATCACCAAACCCCCAACTGTCAGAACTTTGCATTCACTCCTACTCAGCTTCACACCAAACATGCTGGACTCTACTGAGCCAAATACATCTATCTTGATCTTATCTGACCTAAGAATGTGCTCCAAATATTTATCAGGCTTCTTTTGTGTTTGCTTTGTATTGGATGCTGTCCATAGAGGTTGATGTCATGCAGTGTCCTTCAGACGTCTGAGTGGTCACAGAAACTCAAATTTCTGTTTGAAGTATTTGTTTTTGATTTCACTTGAGGGGAATACTCTGTGTGTTAACTTGACATGATTTAATTTGTTATAATTTGACATTTAGGTGATATACATTTAAGTGCACTCACTGTGGTTGTGTACATGGTTGTACATGTAATGGCAACCAGGATCAGTCCAGCAGTCTTTTCTACAGGCAGCAGACAGTTTGGTGTTCTTAAATGTTCAGGGGTACTGAATCCAAATCCAGATGTTGTCTGTCTACTTGGCTCCATAAAGGAGTAAGTAAAAAACACACAAGTTGCATTTTAATTGTGCCTTCAAACAAGACCATCAGCAGCACATTGCAGGCCATGTTCTCCACGACTGAGATGTGTTTTTGAGGAAGTTTAACCTTCACGCTGATTAGGATCCACATGATGCCCATTACAACTATGACTTTGATATGTGTTGTTTATGTTTATGTTTTCTTCTCCGGATATCTGTGCAATAATCACTGCTGCCGAGAAAATCAATCATCCAAGTGAAAATGGCGTGCAAATTAGCTCTTTAATGTTTAATGTGAATTCCAGGCTGTTGCGGCTCACGGGGACTTGCGCAAAAGTAGAAAACATGTGTTGATGCTGCTGCAAGTCCGACTGTCACTGTCAGAGATTACATAACAACCCTGTTCCACTTCACTGGGCTCCATTAGTAAAGGCTGTAATGAATTTATACTTTTATAATATGGTACATTACTAAATGATCCATCATTAAAAAGACATCCAGCGAGAGCTGAACTGTCTCATTGCGCAAGTTAACAAAAGTCAATATTGACCAAACAGTGGCTAACTTATGTGGGATTACACAGGTAATGTCAAAGTCGACATCAAACGTACCAAAACACAAGCAGGCAACACCACAACATGCATCCTGACGCTGTTGGACCTTGAGTTGTTGTTCGGCATTGAGATGTAAGAGGACAGTCGTCAGCCTCGGTGTGTTACGACTTCCTTCCGAGTCATCCACCTCACTGTTTGGGTTCTGGCCACGCCATATCTCCTGTTCTTTATACAGACAGTTGTTAACCTTGTCTGATAAGACATGGAAGTCTTTGACCCGTTGACCCCGTCACCCCTCCCCTCAGTTATAACTAACACGCCTTTGGCTTAACCAATGAGTTGGGGCCATCTGACTGCTGCACAAGGGCCCACAATAACCCTCTTGCCTGCGCCTCTGTTTTTACAGCCACTGAAATTGTTATTACAAATGTTTCTTAAGAGTCCTCTAAAGGACACCCTGTCCCATCATTGCAAATATTTATCAGATGTCCAGAGATGAACATACTGTACCTATAAAATATATTCACCTCACCTCACTCAGCAGCTGAGATGGAAGAGATATAAAACAACTGTGGCCAAGGTTCTCTACCGGTTAGAGCGTCATGGGACAGTAGCAAAGAAAGACACTGATGAATAAAGCTCATGTTAAATCTCGACTAGATTTCCCCAGAAGACATATGGGAGACTTTGAAGTCAGCAAAAAACTGCACATCATCAAAAACACACCATCGCCACAATGAAACATGGTGGTGGCAGTATCATGTATGGATCCTTCTTGGCAGGACCTGGAAAGCTTATAAATGTGGAGCAATATCCCTGTGCAACCTGGCAGTTTTGTAAACAAGACTGGGGGAAAATTTCAGTGTCCAGATGTGCAAAGATAACTGAGACCATCCACACAGGCTCAGTGCTGTAACTGTGGCCAAAGGTGCATCTACTAAACGCTTACTTGAAGGTGGCGAATACATACACAATCACTATTTTAAGTTCTATATCTTTAATTAGTTGACATTACTTTGTAGAAATCTTTAGTAGAAATCTCTTTTACTTTTTGTTATTATTATTATATTGACAATGATTGAAAATTAATGAAAGAGAAAATTTCCAGGAGAGGTGAATACTTTGTCTGGGCACTGTAGCTTTATGTCTCACAGGTGAGTTAATGATTTGCTACCTTTAGACTCTGTTTTAGTTAAATGTTGATGATTCCTGACTTAAATTGGTGTGAGAGAAAGTGTTTCTG